GACTGTAGTGATCATGACACCTCTGTTTTCAGCAATGTCTCAGGTCTTTCAGCTACTGGTGCATATTATTTAATGTTGTTCAGCATCTAGGGTTACAGTTTGCGTAAAAGTGTTTTATAAAAACACAACAAAAAATTCTCTAAGGTGTTGAGACAAGATAATAATAAAATTGTAATTGTTGCTTTGCAGGCACCGCTACAAAGTATCTTCAAGTATGTAATCCCTCTGTGCTTTTGTTAATATTATTTCTGCTAGGCCGTTGGACAGGGGAGATAATACCTCGTAGAGTGGGGAAGGGATTCTGAATGACAAACGCTCGCCTGTGCACAAGCATAACAACTCACAAAGAATGGCTGCCTACAAAACTGTGTCGCTAAAAGAGATTTCAGTTAGTTATCAATATTCTCCTAAAACCTCAAGACAGCTCTCTTATCCCCATGCGCTGTTCTCTATGGCTGTGGCTTTTGTCTTTTTAATGGTTTTATTGTAAAACCCTTCATTTGCCTATGTGTGCGTGTGTGTGTGTGTGTGTGTGTGTGTGTGGTTTTGGGGCATAGGGGGAGGAGATGCTTAACCACACCATGGACTTTTAAAGCTCTCTTTACAATTTAAAAGTAGAGCACTTTTAGAATTCTAGGCAATTCGTTTGCACAAAAGTTTAAAAAACAAACTAACACTATATTTTAAAGACCCCGCCTAACCATGTAGAAAGCTATAACATGTCTTTACATTTTATTTTATTATTGTAAAACCCTTCTTTATGTGAGGGTTTTGTATTATATTCCTGTCCCCCAAGAACTTATTTCTTCACAATTTACATTCCCATATATCCTAATTTTACCGGGCTGGGGGGTGGGGGGAGGAGAAGGAGGTTGATCTTACCAAGTAAGTCAGTTAGACTAAGATCTTTGTGTTGCAGAGATGATCATTAGTTAGTTATGGAAATTGAGTAAACTTAGCAGCTTTTTAGGCGTATGTTATTTAATTTTAAGCCTGTATTTTTGCTGCAAAATTAAAGAGCTTTTAAAAAAATATGCTGCTTCAAATTGTCCTCACTGCATGCTAACTGCTTTTTTTATTGAAATACATATGTAAACTCCCCTCAATTGTGACAGTTTTCATATTCTACTCAGTTGTTTTGGTACTTTACAAATGCTATTTTTCAAAGGATAGGCTAGTGTATCTTAAACATCTTTATGTAACTGAACTTCTACAAAATATTCCTAAAAAAAGACCTTGTTATGTTAGAGCTCATTCAATGCTGGGTTTATGGTTTACTGAGGGCTTGTGTCTCTTCAGATAACCAGGGTGGGTGTTTATCTTAGGAGAGGTGTCTCTTTGTTGTCAAATATAAGATTTTCCATTTTTATTTGAAAAAAGGAGCTGATTTTTGTGTAAGCTGCTTTCTTAGTGTCATCCACTGTAAGAACCGGCTAATATAGGTTCTTTTGAACTTTTATTGTCAATGCCGGGAATAGAACTTTCAGACTTTACAAAGTTTACAGCTAAATCATTTTATGGCTTGGGGTCTTTCTGAGGCTTGGTGTTTTTAACCCTGGAGTTGTCGGTCATTATCTTTATCTTAGAAGAGGGGCCTCTGCTTGTAAACGTTGTATAATTTCATTACAGAACTTTTCCTTTGGGAAAAAGTTTAAAAAGCAAGCCAGTGTTTTTTTGAGAGAAGGAGAAGGTTTTGTTAAAAGATGTATCTTTATATTCACTGTTAGCCAAAGAATTAAGAAACGAGCTTATCTTCAAAACAGTTAGAAGGGAGTTTTATCTATTTTCTCCTCATTGTTGTCTTCTAGGAACAAAACAGAGCGGGAACCGGATGCTCCATAATTTCTCTCTTTTAAACTTTTATTGTCAGTGCTGCAGATAAGACATTCACTGCTTTGCATAAATCTAAAGCAAGTTGGTGTATTTTTTGAGGGAAGTTAAACATCTTTTGTTAAAAGGAGTATCTTTATTTTCACTGTTAGCCAAAGAAAAGCGTTTATCTTCAAAACAGAAGGGGGAGGGAGGAGAAAATACAAGGGTTTCTTTAAAATTTGAAAAAAAAGTAGCTAATTTTTGCTTAAGCTGTTTTCTTAGTGTTGTCCAGTATAAAACCAGCTAATATTCCTGTCATGCAGTTATATTATTTCATGATAGGAAAAGAATTCCTGGACTTAGCAAAAGTGTTAAATGGAGGAAGTGGAGTTTCTTCAGATAGGCTATCTCTGAGCTTCATGTAGTCAAAAAGCGATAGCTTTTGTCTTATAAAAGCATGCTAATAAACATTTTGTTGCAGTAGTTAACAGCTTCAAATAACAAAGGACAATGTAGCGGTATTTAGCGTACTCCTTTATGCAGTTACACATTTCTTTTGAAATTTTCTTGGATATGACATCCTCCCTTTATAAAGCTTAACAGCTGGGGGTGGGGGGGAGGGACGGAGGGAGGTGGAGGGCTCTCATTTTAAAATCTTGTTATGATATAATTGGTTCAGGAAGCACAGCTTGTGATTGGCAGCTAGTTGGCAGCCAGTATCAAGCGGAGTGCCACAAGGGTCAGTCCTGGGGCTGGTTTTGTTCAATATCTTCATTAATGATCTGGAGAATGGTGTGGTTTGCACTCTCAGCAAGTTTGCAGATGACACTAAACTGGGAGCAGTGGTGGATATGCTGCAGGTAGGTATAGGATACATAGGGACTGCGGCGGGGTGATGACTCGCTGACGCGGTGCCTCCTGCTGGACATCTCGGGAATTAGCTCTTTCAAGCCCAGAGCACCCTCTGCAGGCTGATGGCTCACCTGCTGCAGCCCCCCGTGTCCCTCTTGGACCCTGGTGGCCCTCTACTTCAGGGTTCTTCCCACAGCAGCAACCCATTGTCTCTGAGTCTGCCCTCCCAGGGGAAACCCCAACCCTCTATCCCCACCTTAGCTCAGTGGGTACTGCCAGTCAACATCTAGCCCCCGCTCCGTGGGACGGACTGAAATCTGTAAACCACTCATCATTGGCAAGGGGGTTAGGACCTGCTGTCTTTGCCTATCTCTGGGCTGCCCCTCTGCAGCCCCCGTACCTATTTGTAGGCCTTTAACTAGGCTTGTAGCTTGGGGTTTTACTGGGCTGGAGCTCCCCAGTTCCCTCTGCCCTTCCCCAGCACTGCTCCACCCAAGGGACCCTTCTCAGCTCCCAGGCAGCCAGGTCCTTCTCTCTCAAAAAGCTAGAGAGAGAATGTCTATTTCAGTCTCTGGCCCTCAGCCCTCTTATAGGGCCAGCCGTGGCCTGATTGGGGCATGGCCCCACCTGTGACTGCTTCCCCCAATGAGCCTAGCTTTTCCCCCACCCCAGCCCTCTCCCAGGGCTGTTTTAAGCCCTTCAGGGCATGAGTGGGGTGACCACCCCACTACAGAGATGTACACAAATTATAGGATTGGGCCAAAAAAATCTGATGAGATCCATCCTCCAACAGGCGTTTGATTTCCCTTCTTTTTCTCTCCCCCATCACAGCTGATGGACGAGGCCAATCTGACCCACACTGTGGACACCATCCCCCTGCCCTGGTGACAGGCGAAGGAGGGGTGTAGCAGAGTGCTGGTGCAAGAGCATCTAATTAGCCCCTGCCCTGTCAGCTCCAATCAAGGAGAACAGATTGAGACTGATGGAAAAGGCCTGATGCTGGCCTGAGGATTGGCAACACCTGCCGGCCTGACGAACCAAGGGCTATAAAGGCTGGGAAGGAGCCAGGAGGGAGCCAGGCAGTAAGGGAGAGGACAGTCAGGGAGGGAGCTGGAAGACTCATGGCTGAAGTCTGATTCTGCCTGTAAACAGAGGAAACCCTGAAAAGACTGTGTATTTTGGCACTGGTGGTGGGACAAGGCTAGGTGAATAAAGACATGGGTGTGGCACAACCCTGAAGTCTCTCTGAACCTGATTTGGGAGGGGAAGCAGGCCCAAGAAGAGGGGCTGGTCGATGTGTGCAGCATGGCCGGCTGGGGCCTGACAAATGCCCAGCCCTCCCCAACCCTGCAGGAGGTGGAACTGAAGATCATGGGCAAGGGCATGTGTCTTCCTCAACCATATGTGCACTATGCCCCATCCAGAATGCGGTGTGTGGGGGATCCCCAGAAGAGGAAGGCGTCATTCCTGGTGAGTGTGGGACACGACCATGTGGCGCAAGGGACAAGAGGCTGCTAGAACTGGACACTGACAGGGCTGGACAGAATTGGGAGAACCAAGATCCATGGAGAGCCAGCCAGAGAGCAGGAACTGGAACTGACTAGATCCTAGCACTAAAGGCTGGAGGGTAGAAATCAAGGACCAAAATTGGCCAGATCCTAGGAATCAGGGATGGAGGCTAGAAATCAGGGACAAGAACCAGGCTGGTCTTTTAAATGTGGAATGGATACTAATTATTTTGGTTTAGGAACTGGCAAGATCATAGAAATCAGGGGTGTAAATGAGCTGCATTTTCAACAGGTTCTAGAAATCAGGGACAAGAATCAGCCACGTCGTGGAAATCAGGGATGGATCTTACTAGTGAGGGACAGATCCTAGATATCAGGGTTGGAAATCAGCTGGATACTAGGAAATAAAAAGGGGAATTGCTGAATCAAGAACCCAGGGGTGGATCTGAGAAATCAGCAGGAGGTCCTAGAAATAAAGGGCAGGAGTTAGCCAGACGCTGAATATCAGGATTTGGAATCAGGGATGGGAATTGAGCAGGTTAAAGAAATTTGTAATGGATGCTAGAAATCAGACACAGGAATTGGCCAGATTCCAGAAATCAGACACAGGAATTGGCCAGATTCTAGAAATCAGGGACATGGTCTAGCTGGATCCCTGGACCTTAGGGTGGGAACTCCATGCAAATCCTGAGAGTGACTTGACCGTGAGACCCCAGGATCAGGGTTACAGAGCTGGATTTCAGCAATGTGAATACAGAATGCAGCTTGCCCTTTGTTTGGACATCTGTAAACCCACACCTGATTTTTACTTCTCAGGCAACTCCGGAGGCCCCCTGGTCTGTGACGGGAAGGCCCAGGACATTGTCTCCTACGGCAAACCTGATGGGTCAGCACCCCAGGTTTTCACCAGGGTCTCCAAATACATCTCGTGGATCAAGACTGCGCAAGCTGACGCCATAAACGGGAGCATTCATCTCTTCTCACATGATTGGAGAGACAGTTGAGTATTGCAGAGGCATGGCTGGCTGGCTATTGCAGATGGATGGATGGATGGATGGATGTGTAGCCAATGATTTTAATTGATTGTTCATTTATTGTGTGATGTTATGATTAACTAATATGTTATGTCATATATAATCATTGTATACTAAATAGAGTTACATTGTAGAATTATAGAAGGATAAGACCGATCAGTAGTTACAAGTGATAATTAGGTACAGGTTGTACCTCACTGGCCCGGCACCCTCACGACCTGACCGGTCCCGAACCAGGGAATTTGCAGGACCAGGGGAGGTCCATGTCTGCCTCTTTGCTGCCAGCCACAGAGCTCTGCTCTGGCTGGAGAGGGGCTGGCATTGACGGAGCAGGGGTGGGAGTTCTGGGCGGAAGAAGCAGGGCAGCTGCAGAACACCACAGCCGGGACGGCACTGCATCCCCCTCAGTCAATGCCACTACGGTGCGAGGCTCTGTAGCCACCCTGCCTCTTCCCCCCAGCACTGCCCCATCCCTGCTCCTCCCCCTCCTTCCCTGAGCTTTAACTCCGAGCTTCTGAAGCTCTGGGAGGGTGGGGGAGGAGTTTCTAAGCCTGGGGCTGTCGGCTTTTCCCGTGAGTGCTCCAGCCCTGGAGCACCCCCATGGGGTCACCGATGATGCTGGACCAGGGATGTTGCCGGACCAGGGAAGTCCTGATAAAGGAAATACAACCTGTATTAGGTACCTCAATAAGGAGGGCTGAAATGTAAAGCCTACAGGCTTCAGAGGGATAGCCGTGTTACATGCTGAGGCCTATAAGATTTTATCTTAGCCACACTAGGCCATAGACTTAAGAAATGCTTGACATAAGTGACCAGACAGTGACCCTATGCCACAAGATTACGGGAAAAGATTTACCAATGGGTGACAGATGATGGATAGATACTGCAGAACAATGGACAGATGGACATGGCAAATGAGAAGACAGATGCATGTTGCAGAAGGATGGATGGATGAATGGATGGATGAATGTTTCAGAAGAATGGATGGATGGATGGATGGATGGATGGATTGATGGATATTGCAGAAGGATAAATTGATAGATGGGTAGAGGGAAGGATGGATATTGCAAGAAGATGGACAGATGGATATTGCAGAAGGATGGATGGATGGATGGATAATGCAGAAAGATGACTGGATCGATGATGAATAGATGTTGAAGAAGATCGGATCGATGTGGCAGATAGGAAGACAGACAGATGGATATTGCAGAGGAAAGTTGGACAGAGAGCTACTGGTGATACAGAGAAATGAACAACAACCAGTCGAGCCTGCCATGAGATCTAACCTCTAGTCAGAACTTACTCTTATTTTTTCCAAGGCTGCAGTCTCTCACCTAGCCTTACAGATTCCATTCTATGTTTCTTCCCCACTATCTTTTTAAAATTCATATGGAAGTCCTATGCTGACATCCCATTACATCCATATAAGTCTGTGGAGATTTTCAGGGATGGGAGAAGGGGGTTCCCTAGTTCATAGCATTCTGTTATATCGTGATTCCTACAGAGGGCAGCTCACCTACATACCAGATCAGCAGTCGGGGTCACCAGTGTTGTCAGTTGTTGGCAGCGTGTATGTTCTCTGTGTGCTGCACCAGCTCTGGCCAGGTAGCCAGTACAGCAGACTTCTATCGAACTGTCCAAGAAAACCACAGACTCAGTTCAGTGGGAGAGGCACTTGGCTAGGTTTATTGCTAACAGAGCACTGTATTAATGCCGTATATGTGCTACAGGTACACTCAATACATATATGCCCGAGACAAGGTACTCGGCTCAGTGAGGGCGGACTTTCTGCTCCCCCCTCAGCTGGACAAAGACACCCCCCTCTATGACTCCCCTTTTATACATCGATACAAACAAGTTACATATTGCCCCTCTGATGTGGTTAGTTACCACACTTTACCTGTTGGTCTTCTCAAAACATCTCTATCCTTCACCCTATCATCCTGACCTTATCTTTAGGAGGGGTCAGTGTGTTCCTGTATCATCTTCAGGGAGTGTGTTTAACTTGTATTGGGGGTGTTTACCTTGTATTAGGATGTTATGGCACCATCCTTCTGGAATGTGTTTGCATGAAAAATTAGTGCGTAGGATTGCTTGTTTTTTTGTTTGGTTTTTTTTGCCATGCCAGCCCTGGTTTGGCAAGTTCATGTATTGGACAGTGAACCTGCAAGCAGGCATCTGCTTAGTAACAGGGCCTGACTTTTGGTCATAGCTTCACTCTTGCTAACTTTACTTTAACTCAGAAGGGCCTGACTTAAATTCAGGCCTTAGGTCTTACACCAGGATCCTTATAGCAGGCTTCATGTCTCAGGATCTCTCTTCTGATAATACCCTCTATGTTCATCCACCCCTTCACTCTATCCATCCCTCCCTCCCCATCCACAACCTTCTATCAATCCATCCTGCCATCCATCTCTCCCTACACATATGGAAGTCTCCATCCCTCCCTCCTCACACACCCTCTCCATCCATCCATCCACTCCCGGACAGTGTTACTCATGGCTGTAGTATCTCAGGTCTGTTTGTGCCTTCACCTCTGCCATGTTTGCCTGTTAATTTCACTCCATCTTCTATCTGCCAGAATCAATGGAGTCTAGTGATATTCAGCTTTTGTCAGTGTATAATTCCTTCCAGGGCCTTTAGAACTGGCCACCACCATCATAGAGAGCCAGGCTGGCATGTGCAAAGCCACTTGTAGGAGTGAGGTGTCTAAATCCCCTTGACTTTCAGTGGGTGTTCGGCCCCTAACACCCTGGAATCCCTTTTACAATACCCAGTCCATCCTGTCAAGTGCTGGGGCTCAATCCCATGGAAGCTCAGCACCCAGCATCTCCCAATCATGACTCCCACCACAGTAGCACCAAGGCAGGGCGAGAGCTAAGACTCTGTTGTTAGCTACTGAACCACCTCCCCCAGATTCACTCTAGACGTGCGTGGTACCCAGCAGTGCACAGGTGCCAGGGGGACCAGGGGGGTCCCAGCTAGGTGTGTCCCCAGCTGTGCCTGGCCCCAGAACGGGTAGCCCCCAGCTGGGCAGGGCTCCAGGGTCTCAGCTGGGGGGGGCGTGACCTAGTTGGCCCGGATCTTCCCCCCGCCCAGGAACAAAGATGGCCAAGGACCACCTGGAGGGTGGAAACATCACACTGAGGCGTCCCCCTCCACCCCCATCTCTGCACCAACCCAGGCGCCTGGAAGAAGAGGCCAACAAAGTCAGTTCAGTGGATGTTTCAGCCCTAGCCACATGGCGCAACAGGCATGTGCACAGACCGGGGTGGGGGGGGGTCTCAATGCAAGCTGCATCGGGGTCAGCTCTGCCCCATATGTGCACACTGCTCCAGACTCTGGAGGGCGACTAGCCACAGAGGAACCTTCTTCCAGCTCCTTCACCGGGACACAAGGAGAGAGATGGGCGGCGTTGCTTTGCAAGACAGCAGGCAAGGGAGTCTGTGAGCCTGCAACTGGTGAAGGCCCCAGCCAGACACAGGAGCCTTCCTGTTGCAGAGAGATGCTAAGATGAGGCCGAGTTGACCACAGCACAGGCCTCAACTGGGCCCTTCCTCTTAGCAGCTGAGCCACCTCCCCCCGCTCAGCAGGGTTCAGGACACTGCCCAGTGTGAGCACAGCCCTACAATGCCCATGGCCCCACCAGAATGGACTCACGGGCTGAGAGGTCTCAGATGGCAACTCCCCTTTTCCACCCTCCCCCCCGCAGCTGATGTGTGTGGGGGGTGTCAAGTGCTGAGATGGGAGAGCCCTCACCCACATCCCGGAGCACATGGCCCTGTGGTTTCCTGCCTTGCATTCCCAGTGCCAAGCCAAACCTGTAACCCGTCGCCCAGGCAGATGCCCCCTCCCCAGCTGTGCCCTGACAATGCTGCTCGTACTCCTGCTCCCCAGGGCTCAGGCTAGTGATTTGGATAGCATAGTGGCCCCAGTGTGCATAGCCCCCAGCGGGTTCAGGGCCCTAAATATGCATGGCCCCTGGACTACAGCACCCCAGATATGCATAGGCCCAAGGGTGCAGGGCCCAAGAAGTACATAACCTCAGGGGGTGCAGGACCCCACAAGTGCACAGCCTCCAGGGGTGCAGGGCCCCAGATGTGAATAGTCCTGGGGCTAAGGGGGCCCAGATGTGCACAGTCCAGGGGTACAGGAAGCCACATCTGCACAGCCTCATGGGGTGCAGGGCCCCCTATCTGCTCAGTCCCCAGGGTGTGCGGGGCCCCAGAGCTGCACAGTCTCCAGGGGTACAGTGCTTCAGATGTACAACCCCCCAGAGGGTGCAATTCTCCATAATGCACATCCCCATAGGATCTAGGGCCCCAGATGTGTGCAGCCCCAAAGGTTTGCTTTCTGCTAGCTCTGCAGGGTGGCCAGTGACTGCCTTACCCTATGTGTGAACTCCTCCCCGGCAGGATCCAGGGGCTGTGGTTTACCCTGAGCCAAGCATCACCAGTCCTATAAATGACCCCAGAGACAGACACATCGTCTCCTTCCCCAGACTCCCTCTGACGATGCTGCTGCTGCTCCTGTTTCCCATGGTCTTTCCCCTGTCCCCCGGGGCTCAGGCTGGTGAGTACAGGAGGGGATAGGCGCCTCTGGCCTCAGAGGGAATAGAGCCTGGCACTACTGGAGCTGTCTGCAAACCCTGGCTCCTCCCCAGAGTAAGATGCTTCCACCAGGGCCATTGGTGTGTCCCAAGTGCTGTGGGGCTCCAGGGCCTATCGGTGTTTGCCCAGGACCCAACTAGGGAGCCTCAGGTCCGTGGGGCCTGGGGGAAGTTATCAGTGTGTGTGTGCCCAGAACAAAGCTGAGGTGCCCCCGAGCCTTGGGGTCTGGGGGCATCAGTTTGTGCCCAGGACCCAGCTGGGGAGGCATAGGGTCTGGTGGCAGGTGGGCAGGGACCTAAAGGGGCAAGGGGAGACGAGGGGGTTGATGCTACCATAATAAATCCCCTGAGAGGGAAGCAA